CCTTCCCCCGCAAATCCCCCAACCGTAAATTTGTTTTTGATCCTTTTTAATTTTTTTTTGATCCGCGATGCCCAGCAAACGTGCTGTTTTTTGCAGCAAATCCCCCAACCGTAAATTTGTTTTTGATCCTTTTTCAATTTTTTTTGATCGGTTGAGCCTAAATTTGTTTTTGATCCATTTTAATTTTTTGATCCTCCATCCCTTGCGGCCCAGTCTTCTGCCGACAAGCGTGCATAAACACCCCCTCCCCTAGACACGCATGCCACACCCGGATGTACAAGCTGGCATTGGTGATTCTTTTTTCGTACCAGTCCGAGCCCCGTCGTATCGGAAGCGATCTTGCAATGTGTGCGGTTTCCGCGGTTGAGCCTGGGCGCATCGCATCACGGCTCTGAGCCTATAGACGCCTTGAAGAATTGAGGTTCGGAGTGTCCGAGTCGAGTCGGAGCCCGCAACCTTGAACACCTCCGCACTGGGACTCCGCACCGTTCCAGCTTCCCGCCCGACTCGAAAGCCTTTTCAAGTTGCGCCGAGGCACGCGGCATCGCGGTGGCTCACCAACGTCGTACAGGCCGCCGGGGGCGATGTGCATCGACGCGGCTCAAGGGCTCTATAGATCTAGGCGCGTGCAACGCATCAGTTGTCGGTTTTGATCGTGAGGTCATTATTGGTTGCAACCAGTTTTGCTTGCCAGCACGCGTAGCTTATTGGCTGAGCATGTTCTCGAAGGTCGCCGCTTGGCCTGAGCCCAGCTTCAGGATTTGCTGAGCAGTCTAGAATTAATTAGGAAAGGGCTTAAGTTCCCCAGCAATTCAGAAGGGCCTCAGAAGGGCTCTTCACAGGAGCCTCATGTCTGACTCTAGTGGCATGACCTTAGCGTGCGAGAAGTGGCTAATCATCTTTTCCGTCGACCCACGATGAAGTCCATGCCGCACTCTGTTCCAGCATCACAGGTTTTCTCATCACTCGGGCAGCAGAGTCTTCGCAGCTTCGTATTGCGATTTGACTTTCCCTGCCATACTGACCAAAAACTCAGAGCTGCAAGGCCACAGTTTCGTGTCAACTGAGCCGTTTAGGTAGTTTTTGGTTGCCAGGTGTTGTGAGTTCAGTTCCCGGCTTGCGAAGGCAGAGTCCAGGTTCGCACATGTTCGCACAGGTTCCGAAACTTCAACGTAGGATTCAGAATTGCTTTCAGCCCCGTGCTTGGTAGATCTTGGTAGACTGGCTTACACTTCCCCGAGCTAGCCACAATGTTCACGACCACAGATGCCGTTTGATTCCGCCAGGTCTTACCAGTTGAGGGCAGCCTGCGATACGAGCAGCCGCCCGCATGAAATTGCGAAGGTTCGACCCTCCCGGATTTCCGAGACTTGAGCTATGATGCGCAGACCTTAATTAGGGCAGGCGTGAGATGCCCCCGGGACTCTTCAACTCCTTTGCAGCACAGGATGCTACTTCCTAGGTACCTCAGGGAGGGACGGTTCGAAGTGGCTCTGTATGCCGAGGCCGTGCGCAGCCATCCTTTTAGGTTCCGGGCGCTGCGCACGGCTGCAGGAGAACTTCCAGGACCTCTGCCTGGGATGCTTTAGGGCTGTCATGCATCGCCTAACTTGGAAGCAGGGAGCTGCCACGGGGCAGGCGTAGCAAGCCCAGTTTTAGCTTCTGCAGAAGATCGCCGCAGTGGTTCGGAGGTGCGGGGTGAAAACGGTCTCAGTGGACGGTAAGAAGCCTCAGGCTGGTCATTAGTGGATGCTAGTGGCGGTGACCAGCAAGCAGTACAACACAGCACACGAAGACCGCAAACGCCGGCTTGGAGTCTTGGTTCGCGCAGGAAGTAACTGTCTAAGTAACCTCAATGGCCACACCAGAGGCCCAGAAGTCGAGTATCCCTGCCTAGCGTCACCCTGAACTCTGACCTACCTTCGCAAAGGAATGCGGGCCGGTGACAATCCCACGTGAACACTTCGCGGACAAGGAGACTCAAGTGTGAGGAGTGTGTTCATGCTTATCCGACGGGCTGGTAACTTCGCCTTGTCACACGACTTGAGCCAGGTTCCTTTGATGGTAATCCTTCGATTCTCTAGGCCCCAAGTTCCACGTGTGTTTTGTTGTAACAGGGCAGCCCGAAACTCATCTTTCAGTTGCACAGGCCTGCTGGCCCACATGCACCCAAGACACGGATCCGGATAATCCTCCCAGCATTGTAATTGCACGTGACCCTGATGCTTCAGGATCCGGGTGCAGTAGACTCGGCAGGTGTGCCTTATTCCGCTGCTGGTAGTTTGAACATGGGTTTTTGTTCATTTTACGATCTGCAACCAATATTTTGATATTGCATGGCATTGCTTCCAGTTTAAGTTTGCCTTGATTTCAGCAATTCCTCGCTGACCACAGGAGGTGTGTCCCTCAGGCAAGCTGGCAGGCACCGGGTTCGTACTTGTGGAGATGTGAACAACATGACCGCAGCGGCAGGTAACCCATAAATTTCATAACAACGAACAAGCTTGTCGCTATCTATATCTACCTGTCTGCCTACGTGCCCGCCTATCTATCTATTTATCTATCGATCTATCTATCTCGTAAATTGCCTATTCACCTATCAGTCTGTCTTGACCTGCCTACCTACCTACGTAGCTAGCACGACAGATAGCCAGAGCCTTCGGCGCGTGTGCGGAGAGAGAGCGAGAGAGAGAGAGAGAGAGAGCGAGACCTTGTTGCACCAGCTTGCATGCGCGCAGGTTGTCAAGTTTCCAGCGGCGGCGCGGGCATCCCCAATGCAGATCCTGGGCTTGGCAATTGAGGCTTCCCTCATTTTAGACTCCTGCAGCTTATGAGACAAGCCATGAAGAAGGCGGCGAAACGGGCAACGGACACAATCCAAGTAGACTGCATCTTGGGAGGTGTCACTTTCTAAGTTTCGGCGGGTGAGCTCAGTGGGCATGTGTCCGGAAGTTTCGATTCATGCAACAAACAATGAAATCCTGATGTGTTCCATGGGGTTCGGGCTAACTAAGGACTTGGCCATCTACGTGGCGGCGGCTCAGACACAGTGGTGTTCCGGCAACACAGCTCTTTGGCGAGGTGAGTAGATGCACCCTGCTGGCCCGCAGTCAATGCTTGCCAATTGGGCCGTTACACTTCTCTGCAGCACCTACCTTGGTTACCTACCTTCTTGCAATTCAACGAGCATTGGCCAGTCGTGAGTTCGCTCGCGGGCCTTCTACCACCATTCCATTCCACAGCAGAAACCCTGTTGTTTGATGTGTTGCAGGGCTAGGCGTCACCCATATCGTTTTGCACTGTCATCAACCTGTCAAGCCAAACAGCCAAGCCACTTCAACAATGTTTTCAAGGCATGTTCTCATCTTCAACAGCCAACAGCGCCCGCAAACATGAGACAATGTACACGAATCAAGCTGACGACGCAAGGCATCACTGTCACCACAAACAACAACACAAATGACCAGAAGGCTCAGATTGAAAATGATGACCGTAGTCGTTCAGTAATTACGCAGAGAGCGGTTTTGATACTGATAGTCCCCGAAGATGCATGTGAGTCCTTGTAACGCTGCTTTTCGCTGCTCATGGTTGTATAGAGATGGCTTTCTTATCTGCTTGCTTCCGTCATTGAGCCTGCTGCAGCCGCCCTTACCACCACCTTCTCGCTGAGTGTCGGAGCCGAGGTTGCTTATGCGAGCACCTGCCGTCAAGCCGAGGATGACCGGCCCCTGGCAGGCTCCAAGGGCCTCTGTTTTGGACCATGGCAAGTGCTTGTCATATGCGAGGAACTTGCAGCTGCAAATGTTTTTATCAATTTGATGGTTGTAACTGCTATATCCATTACACCGGACCTTGTAGTAGTTGGGGTTGCCGGCGTGAGTAGCTTCGCTGCTTCTGCGCAGCGACCGGAACGGAGCCCCGTAGTTGTAGTTGTGGCTTGCCGGCACAATGTTCAAGTGTGGTGCTTGAGCTGCTCATCGAGTGTCGCCAACAATTTGGCAGATCCAGAATATCAACCCAACATCGGGAACATGAACATGATAGAAGAGGCCGTAGTAAGATTTGTTGACAACATACCAGAACTTCATTAGACCAGTATGCAGTTCGTAGGTATTGAAAGAGTAAGCAAGCAACCAATGTTGAGGTCCTGGAAGATTTCCTCCTGCACGTTCAGGGCAGTAGCCAAGACAGCCGCGGCTGTGATTAAGATTGGCTTCTTGAGGAAAAGTAATCTGCTTAAGCCCGGAGTGGTACCAGGCTACTTCCTCTCCGCTTAGCTTGTTTCTGTTGCCTGCTGGGTGTGGATTGTGTTCTAAGCTCTCGGGCCCTGCAGGTTACTTCAACTTCTGTCCAAACCGTTTGAGTCCAGCAAGCCAGCGGAACTGGCACCAAGACGTGGCAGTCGCGATCCACGAAATTCTGCGCCATGGTGGCATTGCTACGACACATGATCGTGTTGCAGGGAGCAAGGATGCAACAGAGAAGCAGCCAGCTCTCAAGGCACAGTATGGCCTTTTCCTCCTCGCTCTTTCCCTTCTTCCGCGACGTCTTGGGAGCACCACGAACCCCTCGCGACGAGGCCCAGTCTCGGACATTCGGGATGTTCGGCTTCCCTCTAGCTACTCCTGGTGCACGGTGCAGTCGTTGACTTCAAAAATCTAGAAACGGTGGTACCAAGCAACCGATGGGCCCAAGACCCACCGAGGAATGGGGCTTGCCACCGATGCAGGCCGGGAGCTCTTCCAGGCTTTTAAATGCAAGTAACATTAGCCATGTGCGGGGTGGTTCTGGTGTCAAGGAAAGTTGCTTCAGTTTGCTGTATTTCAAGAGCATCTGTAGTTTCACATTCGAGGCTTGTCATGATGCGCACTTTGTTTTGCCACACTGCTGTGCGTCCTAAATCGTGAGACCTGGCAGGACGGCATGTACCGAGCCGGCAGCTCCACGGTGCGCGTGGACTCTTGACTCGCTTGGGAACCCTGAGTTGGTCAAAGCAGGGCATCAGGCATCTTCGGGGTCCTACTAGTAGACTCCAGGATATGGCTTCAAGCCCGTCTAGTTAGCAGTCTTTCAACCACTTGCTTTGGGAGGTGCTTTTGCCAGTTGCGTCCTGCCTCCGTTGTGTTTGGGTTCATGGGTTTGTATGTATGCGGGGCAGCCGGTTCCATCATACTGTGGTATGTGGTATATTTAGCAAACAGAGATAGTAGATATACGGTCGCATTTACTATGGTTGTATCATAGCACATCCGAGCACCTTCTGGCTTATCATCCAACCATGATCAGGTCGAGTGCTCTTCCTTCCTTGATGTCACGACCAAACACTTCATGGCTTAGGGGTTACCATGTGTCATACATCTGCAGAGCGCTGGTCTCAATCTATCCGGAGCAGGACTTGACACTTCGCCCTTCGATCCAGTTCTCCATCCATACATGCAGGTGCTAGAGGATCTGGATTATGTTCTTGGTTGCCATGATCTGGGCCGGACCTGACGTGCTGGTCAGGAGCAGGCGGATGGCCTCGAACGGCACTTCATAGCGCTACCCAAAGTCGTGCCACTCAGACTTGAGCACGATGCAGATGGGTACAGGGTTTGGGTACAGGATTTGGTTCGGAGGTGCAGAGCCAAAGGTTCGGTGTTCTTCGCCGCCTGAGCCCAGGCAAGCTGCACGACAGCACTTTGACTGCCCTTCGCTCCTGGGCTCCTTGGACGGCACGAAGGCTGCTAGATGCCCTCAAGATCTAAGATCTACTGGCTGAAGGTACTTGTAGCAGGGCCGGCAAGCATAGTAAGCACGGATATTGCTGCTGTTCCTGACAGGCGTTGCGCTGGAGGAACAGGGTGGCGACGGTTCTGCTTTCTCACACTGGGACGCCCGGATAATGCACTCAGAGGCCATCTTCACGGCACTTGCGCAAGTCTGGAGCCATGTCGTGCGACTCACGAAGTCAGCACGAAGCATGATGGGCTTGTGAGTCTGCAAAGTGCAGTACTGATCGTGAAGTTTCGGCACCTTCCTCTGTGCGCGAGTGCTGTGGAGTTCGGACGGGATCTTACGTGTTCTGGTTCCCGCTTTCTTGTTGTCTTTCCGTTCTGCGAGTGTGTCCGAATGCCACGGTACTTGTCCAGTGCGTGATCTCTATACAGTGGTCCCTGCAGTTCGGTCAGCTAGCCGGGAGGCAAAGAATCTGAAAGAATGTAGACTACGCTTGCTTCGTGTGAGGTGATGGCTGCGGAAAGCAGTGCGATGCCCCGGATCTCAGAGATGACGCTGGCACTCTTGGAGGAGTGCAGAACAGAGATTTGTGGCCAAAGCAAGTCCAAGTCCTTCCGTGTGCCGGACCAAGACTACATTCCAGTCTTCAGTCTTCCCAGCTTGCATGTTCCATGCCAATGTCCAATGGAAAGACACATTAACTCCTTGAGTCTGACACATCTGCCCTGAGAGGACAGCGGGTGGTATCGGGTCCTGGGAGGTTTGGCATCGCCAGGCCGGGAGTTCGAAAGCATGGAGTCTTCGACGTGTCACTTCCGCAGCCCAAGAAAGGCCACAGTTCGCAAGTCCGGTGGCAATGCCGCTTGACGTGCCGCGCCAACTTTCTCTTGCAAATTACACAGCCCGGGAAGTCTTCAGAAATGAGTGCGTCCATCCCTTGGGAAAGAGTGTTTGAGTCAGGGCGAGCTGGATGGGATCCAGTCGCTTCTCAGTGTGGGTTGACATGGGTTGCAAGTCCCAGCCTGGTCCCTTCACTGGGCCCCTGGCCGGCAACGAGAAATTGACACACTCTGCTGAGACAGTCTCGCATGCTCGTACTTGGTGGAGCCGTGACTCCTGATCTAGGATAGCTGCAGACGCTTAGTAATTTGCGGGGCAAGAGCGCGAAGCACGCTTCCTGTGCCAGATGCCGACAGCGCAGCTGGACACTTCGTCTTCGGTCGAGGGAAGGGCTGCAGCAACTCGGCTTTTCGTGGGTGTTCATAGCCCTCCAGAAACTCATGTGATTCGGCACAAAGATGTATACTCGGCTTCTGTGCTCACAGCACTCCGTTCGACATTTCTTGTTCTCGTTTGTCCAGCATTCAATCGCAAGTGCCCACTCTTCAGAAACACCTGTGCAACGTCCGATTGACCTTTCGGGTTTTGCGAGTCACAGGCTTCCTCCAGCACAACTGCATCATCGTGCCTCGGCAATTTCTGGAACACTGGGCTTGGGCTTGGACCCAGATCCGCAGAATTGAAGCCCAAAGGCATAGGCAGTTTCGATATCGTTGGGTCTCTGTCTGTGCAGTCTGAACCCGCCAACATACCCACCACTATTTTGCACATGGTTTCGCAAGTCTAGCATCAGCGCAGAGCAGCACGGAGTTCGGGCCTGAATGTCGTTTTTTCATGTCACGTTTTCATAGTGCTTGGTGCTCCACTTTTGTCATTCGGGCTCCGCCGTGCCGATCGGGCCGTGTCTAGCGTCTCACAAATGCCGGATCTGCCTTTGGCTGAGGACAGACAAAGTGCTTTCCCTGATACTTTCTGCACCGAGAGCCAGGGCAGCTGCACAAGCCCCAGTGCAGGAGGCACCGCCGACATCTCCAGGGCTTCTAGGGTTCTATAGGGTATAGCTTTCGTCTCGAAGAGTTTCTTCAGGAAGCGATTGCTTTCCTCAGCAAGTGGGATCCCTGCATGGTTGGGTTGTCAGAGGAGGCTACATTGGAGAATGCATACTACAGCCACTCGTTTGCGAAGATGTCCCCCCTGTGCTTGTAACAGGGTAGGAAGAACAGCTGTCTCTGATGCCGCGGAACTCCAGGGATCAAGAGGTTCGACACAAGAGCACGACAGTTATTTATTCATGATCGAGGTGTAGCCCGCAAGCAGGATAAGATAGTATACTGTAGACTGTATACAATCAGATTGTACTAAGCAGGCACTGCTCTTCACTGTACTAGTCTTCAAATTCTCTGCAGCCAACAGTGTACATAGATTGGGACATGCTGGAGTTTTCAACTGCTCCGGCAGGAGCCATCGGCTGTTCCCACGACCACCTGTCTCTGGGAGCTTGCACCAATTGTCTTCACAGCTCTGCTCTGCCGACCAGATACCAGCATTTCGACAATCCGAGGCCGGACCTTGGGGTCTTTGAGTAGCGAAAGGCTCCGAGCGGCTGTAGTCTCACGGGGTGCAGGTCTGTACTGACCCCGGAAGACACAGGACCTCGAAGTTGAGTCAGTTAAGTGGGCGCGATTGTGACAGTCGGTTGGCTTTCTTGCATGTAAGGTTGGGCGGCATTGCTCGCTACGCCGCCCAGCTTGCGAACAGAACAGGATTGTTCTATCCTTGTCGCACAAAGTGTCATGCATTTTCGTGGTGAAGCTAACCCGGCTGGTGCACGCTGCATGTCGCGCAAGTCTGGAAGAATCTGAGATCGGTTACTGCCCTACGGTGGAGCCTTTCTGGTTTTCTGGGCGGCCGACCACCTGCGCAAGCAGTGGTGTATACAGCGACCGAACCTCGCAACGCTTCTTGGGCTGTCAAGAAGGGCCTCTAAAGTCTCTAGAGGCTTGTTGTTCGAAGTGGCTGCTGGCATCCTGATGCTTTGATTGTCCATGTGGGCCGTGGAAATAGCCGTTGGCGGTTGAGGTGAGCTGGACAGGGTAGGACGTGCTAGGTTAACCCCATACGCTGTCTCCTTCTTGAAAGTCGTCTCCTTGCTACCGTTGACTTCTGCATCTTCGCAAAAGATGTCATCGGAGGTGTAGCTCGCATACCAGAGCCGTCTTGATGTGAGTCGTTCCAGTGGTGCACAGTAAGTACTCCTGTTGGGCAGAGAATGCAAGGAGTCCTCATTACTCAGTAGTCGGCATTCTGTACGACAGGAATACTTCTGCGACCGTTCAGACCCAGCCTGCCAGGCTTCGGTGAATCCCACGGCCCTGCATCGCGATGCGTGCTGTCCACGGCCACCCAGTCAGGCGACCTGAGCGGTGCAATCTGCCTGACTGAGCTCTCTCTCTCTCTCCCTCCCTCCCCGCGCCTCTTCGCCCGCCGCGTCCTGAGAAGCTGTTAGGCAGCCTCGCTAGCGCATGCTACCTGGCTAATTAGCTGACCAGGCTTCGTGCCGCCAGATGAGCCGCAAGGAACATGCCGTGACGTTTTCTGTTTAGAAGATGCACTGCGAATCAGGACCGGTCCGACTGGTTTTTAAGGCTTTTAAGGGACTAGGTAGACTTCGGTGGCTTGGCTGTCAGCTGAACCCCCCAAAACCTTTGTGTTTTCCTAGTAGACTACAAGGCTTTAAGCCATGATGATAATTTAAACCAGATGCAAAAAAAGCAATGATAATTTATTTGGGTTCCGCGAGCATTTACAGGATGTCGAGGCTGGAGCACTCCTCGCTTAGAGGGCATTATTCGGCTTAGATTCCATTGTTTTATGCATGCATCGTCGAGAAGGCGCCCGGTTTTTACTTGTGTTGAGGGCTTGCCATGCGAGAGCTCTTGCAGCGGATCAGGTTTCACTGTGCCCTCGGTCGGACGTTCCGTTGCGTTCGCTTTGGAGCTGGGCTTCGACACTGGTTTCGTGCATTTGCCTTGGGTCCGGTGGTCTAAAACGGTCAGGGCGAATTCATTTTCCTAGCCTCGTGACCGTCTCGTCTCGTTCCAGCAAGTGTTGGCTTTCAAACGCATTGTACCAATTCGGCCGTGCAGGATCAGCGAGAACAACTTCGTACTCTGCGGGAAAGAAGAGTTGCTTGGGTGCTGAAAAGAATCGCACATACCTCTTCAGCGGTTTAGTGCAGTACGTTGCGTCGGCTTGTTCGAGACAACATCACGTGTCAAGATTGCGCATGTTTTCCATATCGTCAATGCATGTCTGGTCAGCAGCTTAATGTAGCACGACGAGTCGTGCTGGTGGAAACATCATCATGTGCCGATATTGGGCATGTGCTCTTTACATGTCTCTGCTGCAACCCCTTTGCTCCACGGTCACTATCATGTTTGATGTGCCAACCGCAGTCTTCGTGCCGTGGTACTTCGAGAAAGCGCTTTGGAACATCTGCAAGAGAAGTCGCTCTACCAGGCTATTTTTGGCCGGAGGAAACATACAGTTATGTTACACTCTGCAACGCCTCTCCGAGTAATTAGAGTTTCCGAATTTGCTTGCCGGCGTCTCCCCAGAGGCACCAGGTTGGCTGGGTTCTTGAGGAAGGAGGCTCCTTGCGGTTTTCAGTAGCAAGATGGAGGGAGCGTGTCCGAAAAGGATATGAGTGCGTCGACAACTGAGGACTGGTGTGAGGAAGAGAGTCTCGGGACAGTTTGCAGGCAGGCAATTCCTGATCCTGCGCCTCCTTCCGCCAAGCACCTCTTCCCTTCCCCTGGTCCCCCCAATTGAAACTCGAAAAGTGGTTTTGTTATTGCGGGGGGCGGGGGCGGGATCTCTACTGTCACTTCAGTGGGTTCTTGCTCCTGCTCTGGCTCTTGCTGCTGCTGTTGCTCCTGCTCCTGCTCTTGCGCTTGCTTCTGCTCTTGCCCCCCTGATTCAAGACAGGTTTCAAATGGCAGTGATGATTCGGGGACGATTTCTGGGAAAGTGTTGTGAGTATAAGACCTTAGGACCTAGGAGTGAGTGTGGTGCGAGAGGCTACCCAGTGCATTTCCCCCACCTTGGCTCGATGATGTTCGGTGTATACGGCTTATCTAGTGTTTAGGACACACGGTGCGTAGAGAACCGTCCGCTGCGGTCTTGTTTGCAGGATAGCCCTTATTGGAAAAGTCCTATGTTGACGGGTCTCCCTGTTGATGCCCTCCCTTTCCTGCAGCAACTTATTGAAGAGGACATGCTCGCCAGGATGGAAGATGCAGTCAAGTCCAACATACATGCCAACTTGAAGCAGACAGGGCGTTGCCTGTGGAGCTTCGCTGAGCAAGCCCCAGCGTCAGAAGTGGATGTGGTCCAACAGCTGATGGACCCATCACGTACCCAAAAAGCCTGTCATCTGGGAGCTGAAGATGCTATGGCTGGTCCACGACAATCCCAATCGAACCTACGCAGACGGGGGTCAGCAGCTGCGGATTTTCGCCAAGTCCGACACCGCAGGAACTGAGCCTCATCAAGAGTCTGCTTGCGACCATCTTCATCCTCATCTTCCGCTCATCTACTTCGTCATCATTATCCCAGCCGCCACCAAAGGCCTTCGTCATCCTCATCCTCCTGACCATCATCATCATCTTCTTCTTGTTCGTCTTCACCACCCTCACCATCACCACCAACATGAGCAGCATCAGAATAGGATAATTGGCATGATGATGAGGATGATGATGGTGATGGTGAGGACGAGGACGAGGAGGAGGATTGTGGTGGTGGTGGTGGTGGTGGTGCTGGACCCCAGTCCCTGAACTCTAAGCCCAAACCGCGAGAACAATATTGGTTTGACGCAGCTGTTCAGTGGCTTTGAATGCTTTCTTGTTTGCGGAACCTTTCTAGTAGCCTCGGTGTGGACATAGCTCCTGCAATGCATGGCAGAAAACGCTTCAAGGCCGTGTGATGAACTTCATCACAGCATTGCATCAGCACATCATCACATCGCAGAGCGTCACAGCACAACGTAGCATCACCAAAGATCTGCCATCACAAGGCTGTCACTGTGTAACCAATCAAAACTTAGCCGTATTGGTAGGGCGGTTGTTGTCGTGTTTTTTGATTCGGGGCTTGACGGTTTAAGGGGGAGGGCTTGATTTTCTGGGTCTTTTGTCGGTGGTCGTTGCTTTCTGTGTGTTCCTGCTTTTCCTAGGTCCTATAGGTTTTCTGCAGGACGGAAGAGGCAGCAAAGAAACGACAAAGAAACATTGCGAAACACACACGACAGCACGCAGATGGAACAGGAAGAAAAACGGGGGACGAAGATAACATCGAAACTCCGTGTCCCCAACACTCCGTTCCAGTTTGGCAGCCGAAAGCATTCATGTCCCAGCCGGGCTCTGCAGCCCTGCAGGCTTCATCCAGTGTCCGGGCTATGCTTCCATCTGCGGGGAGAGTGGCGCACAGGGGCCTCAGGAAGGCGCTGAATGCCATTTTCCCGGAACGCGCCTTGTCTCCCAGACGGAGGTATAGTTCGGATCCCAAAGCGAACTTCCAGCCATGTGCGTTGCCTCTTTTCCGTTGAGCAAAACGGGACTCCACCACATTCACATAGTCTACGACCTCGCCCTTCAGCGCTAGGCATCGTCATGGCCGCTGCGCAGCCTGGCAAGGGATGTTCTTGTAAGGAAGGGGCCAAGCAGGCGGTGGCGCTTTCGTGTGCTTATCGGGACTTCGGCATTCGTACTTGCAGTGGCAAGTCCAGCACGCATCATTGTTCTACTGCTTCCCCTCACCCACCGAGGTTTGTGCTCCAGGATCAATGGGCGAGGACTGCAGCGTCCCGGATACCGCGGCAAATCGACAGGAGCACGGGCCTCGCCAAGTTCCTGCCCAGCCATGTGGCAGAGGTGGTAATAAACATGATGACGCAGATTAGATTAGGTACCGGGTCCGCCAGTTGGACAAGGTCATGAGTGCCTGGAAACGATTTACTGAAACCCCGACCTTACAAGTACCTTAGGGCCTTATAGGGCTTAGTTACTCCATAGCTCTACCCAGTATGATATAATATGATGACCCATAGCAAGGCATCGATCGATGCTCGTTCCGGGCAGGACTTTCCTTTCGGCCTTCACTATCCTCAGCAAGAGTTCGAGCTAAAGGCAGGCCTCAAGTGCAAATTCTTTCTAACAGGGCTCCGTGATCCAGAGGATTTGCAGTCAGCACTCGGATAGCCTGAAAATGTCGACCTCTGGTGGATGAATCATTGGACTATGAGGAAGAGCAGCATGCATTGGGTACATGCTGAAGACGCACCTTGTTGTTTAGAAGGAACTTCAGATCGCGCTCCCTCGTTGCCTGAATTCGTTGGAGTGCGAAGTGTCAAAAACCCCAAAACCAAAAAGCGTGCAAGTCGAAACTCTAAGCCAGTTCTTGCTGACGGAAAAAGCTTAAAACACACCTGCATGCAGTTAAACTCCGAATCCCAAGCCCCAGCTCCCCCTAAGTAACTCCCTAGTCTCCTGAGTTCAAGCCGGGGCCTCGGGCCTCCCGGAACGCAGGTCGGCCTGGAGCTGTCCCGGACGGAGGGCCTACGGGCCTGGCCCATGCGCCCGACCTTGCAGAGCCGACCCAGGCGGGGCACGCTGGGGCTAGGGTTTAGGCGTGTACAGGCTTAGGAAGGGGTTCAGGGGTTTGGGGTCTAGAGGTATAGGGCTTGGCGATTCCAGTTTTGGGGGGTTGGTTTCAAGCCAAGTTGGGGATCTTTTGCCCCATGGACGTTGCTCCTCGTTATGACGGTGACGAAGTTCATGGTCGAAGCCGCAGTTCTGTGGTCAGGCCGCCAGGCCTGGTGTTTCTTGGAGCCTGACCCAAACCATAGCAAACCCTACTGGCCGCAAGGTTGTTGCAGTTCAAGGTCGATCCTGCAACGCGTCGATATGTGGTGATCCTGCTTGAGCTCTGCAGGTATTAATGGCAGTGATTAGATGTAGGGCAAAACTGCGTGCCACGTACTTCATGAGGAGACGGGGAGGAGAGCTTGATTTGCCCAAGTTCTTAATGTGCATGCCTCGGCATCTTTGTCCCATTCCTGATTCAGTTCAGTGCCGAATCGTCGTCATGATCACACTGCTTGTGGTCAGTTATTCACACCGTACCTGCATGTATGTCTGCACACGCACACACCCGCCGTAAACACTCGACTTGACATGTTTGGATCTCAGGCTCTGCCGGCAGGGCTGAGCCTGAATGTGCCTTGGGATGACATGGACGAAGACATGAGGGTATCTAAAAGCAGGTTTGATGAACGTATTCATTCATGATGACCGCGGCACGTCTTGGTAGAGGTGCGCTTGACCAGGTGCAGGCTCAGACTCTCGGAGTTGCCAGTTTGTAGACTTCAGTCGATCTCTCAACGGATGGGGGACACAAGCTCGTGCATGAGGCAAACGGACTTTGTCAGCCAAGGTTTCTTTCCTGTAGAACCAAACAAGGTTCCATGTGAATAGGAGGCAATCACATGAACTCGCCCAGGGAGAGGGCGAGCTTCGAGGCACGCCGGCTGCGAGTTCGGACCGAAAGTCCTTTGTGCTCCCTGGCCCAACGACGTATCATGGAGACCGTTTTCTGTGCGGGTTCTATTCCAACCGGCAAGGCCCAAGCTGTCTGGTCCAAAGGAACTCAAGTTGTCAGGAGCGGACCGGAATGTTCGAACAAGGAAACCCGGCCCGGATCCTTGCGCTCGTCAACTCGGTCGCTAGTGAAGTTATTGTGCAACCATCGCAGGTTGCGCGTTCCGTCAACAAGTTCTGTTCTGAAGTCGTTTAGATTCCCTCAGTCTAACCGGTGCTCCTTGCAGTGAAGCTGTGTAAGGATCACTGCATATGGCTGGAGCGGCGCCAGCACCACAGCATCTTGGCTCCATTTGCCGGTAGCTGTGGAAGTGTTTCGCATGATCCCGCATTGAAGCACGAGTCCCAAAGAACGCAAGTCAGTCGACCCATTGCCGTAGAGGTCTCCTGTTTGTTTACTCCCCCCCCACCCCCCGGGACCACTCTCCCAGTCAAGATCTCTGGTCCTGGGGGCTTGGACGCCAAAATCCGATTTTAAGGGAGGGGTTCATTGGTCCACAAAAGAGCGGGGGAGAGGGGATTAAGAGGAGGGGCAAGAGGGCGGGAGGGAAAGAGGGAACCTCTGACCGCTTCGGCCGGGGCCGAGGCGAGTTTGACTTGCAAGTAGCGCAGAGCAAACAAAACCGAATGCACTGCTGCATCCAAGCTTCGAGAGAACAGATGTGAGGTGCTCTTCATCACCGTCCTCTGCGACTCTTGCCAGGCATTGATTCAGTGGAATCGTTGGGTGTTGGACAGGGTTTAGACAGGCTGCGGCAGACGCCTGGGTGCATGAACAGCAACCATGGAGAAGGTCAAGACTTCAGGGCTGTCTCCGAACTTGCCAGATACTGGGAGGTCTCAGTGAATCTGCCTGAAATGTACAACTCCGAGCTCGTACCTGTGGGTGCAGGGTGGGATCAGGGCAGTCATCCTTAGACAACAACCGGGGGAAGCTGAATCGCACAGCACGACTTCGCAAGTTCAAGGACATTGCGGCTTTGCTTCCGAGCGCGTCCAGATGCCGTGGAGCCCTTTACACGTGTAAGGACAGTGGCGCGGACTGCCCCACCAGTGCACCGGAAAGTGTGACACCTGCTGGATCTGTCACCACTTCGCTTCGAGGCTCGCAGTGCATCCACCATTGCATGTTGAAGCTTGAGAAGCATGGATACATCTGTGAGCTCGACCCTAGCAAAAACAACTCAGTTCATGGTGCCTACTTTCGAAGGATACTGCTTGCGCAGCACTCGAAGGATCATCTGGCTCGGGACCTTCTGATGACGATGCAGCCGCCAACTCGATGCCCAAGATCCTCAGTTGCAATGGATTACGGTTTGATTTTTGTCGGCCTTCTGGCTTCTTCAGTGCTGGTGCCAGGTGGTCGCACCGGTGAAATGATGCAGTTGCCGTGATATCGAACTTCTAGGGGCCCAGACGCTGCGATTCTCTGTGCAAGCGCATTTTTGGTTATGTCCTGTCCCCCTTTTTGCGGAGACGGAGTTGCAATGCATAGACGAGACACTCCACTTGCGTCATCAGGCATGTAGTAGGTGTCCAACAACTGGACTCGATGCGAGCCGAATTGCCATGTGATGCTGAACACAAGACTTGCCCACGTTCGTTGTTCGCCCGCCACTCGTCAGGCTTCGCTTAACATTATCGTCCCTGGATTTCCACCAGCTGCAGAAGGACTTTTGCGAGCATGGAATGCTTCAGTACCGCATGAAATGCGGCACCCATCAAAAAGGACTAGCGCTAAGAATAAATAGACCCATTCGATGACATGATTGCCTGATGAGAGGGAAGGCTGAGCTTGAACCGACGGTGCGTGATTTTGTGGCGACCGCAACTCAACAACCCAAAAAATCCCAAAATGTCCCAAATCAGTTTGCCTCCTACAGGATCCTGGTTTGGAATCCTTTGCGCTGCAACTGCAGGCGGCGTGGCGTTGGTGCTTTTTTTGTAGCGCTCAAGCTGTTGTGCATGGCATACTGTTCTCAGTACTATTGCTCTTTGTCGTTGTTTCCATTTTGCGGTCAGTGTTCTTGTTCCTCTTTGTCTTCTGGCTGTTGCGGTTGAGGTTGCTCTTTGTGCTGGCATGGAGATGACTTTTCCGTTCTGCAGTGTCGATGGTGATGATGATGATGATGATATGATATGATAATGATGATGATGGGGCGTTGGTGATGTCTTGATCAGTGTCTTCAGCAGAATCACCATGACTATCGCTGACGCCGTCGTCGCGGTGGGTGCCCTCGGTCTAGCCCAGAGTCAAGAGCTTACGTGAGGTGTCGTGGACATTCCACCTTGGATTGGACCAAGTTGGAAGGGGGTGTGGGGGAAAAGCTTAATTACCGTTCTGCTCCTCGAGTGCAAGCTGCATGGTGATCCGGCCGTTTAGGGCATGATCTTGGAACCATAGTTTTGATCGCGAGAAGGACAACTCGTGAACTCCTTCTCAATTTGAAGCCTGAAAGTCCCAAGCCCTGCCATGGACCTATACTGGGTGTCACAGATTACCGAATACCCTGTCTCAAATGCTGGGTGATTTGCCGAAACAACTCCGCGTGAGGCGGCTTTATCAGAGACGATGTCGCTGCAAACGGTCGCTACGACGCACTTGCCGGCTGAGATTGGTCTAAGCTTGCTTTGGTAGCATGCGACTCGACGCACTTGACAAAGTCGAAGCCACTCCGTAGCAGTAATCGTCGCATGTGGGCGGCAAGTACAGTAGTTGATGTGATCGTATGGTGTCGCTCTATCAATCTAGGTGGTCGTGTTATTCAGTCTTTTCCTTCTTGGTTAGCACGAGGATGCTTGCCTTCACGGGAGGGATATATGGCCTGATTATTGCTCTTGTGGTCCACAGCTCAGGCTAATGTGGTGGTTTCGGCGGCTGTGGACGGCACCGTTCCTGGGCGACGTTTCCCACAATCGCATGTTGTGCCAACCAGGCCATAGCTTTGGCTGATGGAGGTTACAGATCATCCCTCCCGTGACCTTGCCTTACCGGTGCAAGCGTCCGGATGCGCATGCTTCCGATGGCTTCTGCTTTGTCCCGTGCTTTCCGATTTAGATCTGTGCCTCGCACCCCATCTCCACAACGTTTTTTATTTTTCTGTTCTTGTTCGACTCCCCGAGACGCACTCACTATCGTACTCGTATCTCCTTCTGGCTCGCCTTTGATCTTGCCTGAGTTCGGACACCCTCGATCACGAGGCCCGATGCGGCCCGATGCCCAGTCCCGCAGCGAGGTGCTGGTGGACTTGGACCTATCCACAGGCCAGGAAGGCTTGAGGATGCTGGAGGAGCCGCTTGGAGGGTAGTTAAATGGTGGCCTGAAATCTGTGAGACCAGCCAGGGCCAAGGTTCGTCTGATTCGTTTGGCTTTAGCATAATGGTCTCGGAGCATGATGGACACGAAGCCTAGACTTCAAAGCCGCGCACCCGCCACCTGAGAACATGCTGAATGTGAGTCGATCCAGTCCAACGCTTCAATTCGAGCCTTGTGCAAGTAGAACATTGCAGGACTCATTGCAGGGTCAACTTGCAGATCCAGCACCCTGGATTGGTCCACGCTCGGTTCAGGCTTCTTACTTTGTCTGCGGACAGAAGTGGGTCTCCTGCAGGGCCGTAGCAGCAATAATGCAACGATTAGCTGGCTGGATTGCGCCAGATTCCACGATCTTCGTCTCAAGCGCAGGCTGTGGAAGCCAAGACGGTCAGGTGTGTTCAGCCATTTGCATTCTGCTGCTGACAGGACAGCATAAGCAACAGCATCTGTGCAACCTGAGGCATCGCCACTACTGTCTTCAACCTTCGGTCAGACCTACCTTCAGTCGGTCAAGATCTCCAGTGGCTTGATTCGGTGCTAGGTGGGAGACACCTTGGATCACTGGTGTTTTTGGCAGAGCCCATCGCTGCTCCCCTCGAAGTTTCCGACGTCATACCGAATCATGCACGGGTGTATAGAATCCACAACGCCCCGAGCACCAAGGCTTGTCCCTGGACGGCTCCAGACAGGTGGGGTGAAGTGGGGAGTGCTTTGGATGCCGTTCTGTGCGCGGAGATCTGACCCAAGCCTGGCGCATGTAGCAAGCTCAAGCTCGTTAGGTTGGCCAATCAGGTGGGTCGTCGTCAGCATCCAAAACGAGCAAGCGAGAACAATGGCCCTGTATGCGATTTATGTATCGGAAACTGTCGGGCTCTGGGTAGGTGTGGCCTCTGCCAAGCGACGAGGACGGCGACGACGGCTTCATGGAATATCTGGATTACCGGGACCCTTAGTCTGAAAATCTGAAAACCACTGAGCATGCTCCGAGTGCTTGCTAAAAATGCTACCATCTTTTTACGAGTAGCTGTGGCAGTAGCACACAAGTGATAGCACGTTGAACATGCCAGCGGATGAGGTCGGTTCCCGTCTTGCCGTAGGTATTCGATCGCAGCCAGGAGTTATGGTTTCGACACAGTATACTTTCATAGGCAAGGCGATGTGGCTATTGCGAGGTTCCGGTTGAGTGTTGACTCTTGAATGCCACGTCATGGCGTTTGCTCCGGCATCGTGCAGCCAGCAGGCAGGTCACCAGAGCATTTGCTATGATCAAAGGCATGCAAAGGTTTAGGTGGCACTAGCCCAGAGCTATGTGTGCATGTTCCTGCTCCAGAAATCCTGCAGCAAGGAGTGGCAAGACTGGTTTTCGTCGCAAACATTTGTCGTCCAGGTGGCGTCGCAGAGCTGCAGTTGGCGAACACCCATAGCATCCGCGGCAATGTGCATCAGAAGTACATCACAACACATACTGCAGTGAGGTGGCTAGTAGGGCCTCATGTCATGGAGATGGACTTCCTGAGCCTAGCACTAACCGCACTACTTGCAGCTATGAGCACGGAGCACCAAGGATCCTGGGAGGCGCATCAGTCGTGATCGTCCTGCGACTTGGGCTAATACGGCAAAATGGGAATAAGAAAGGAGCTGTGACCCTTCCTTGGGCTTCAATTGTAAGCCGAATTTGTTTCAGCCCTGGCGGTCCTCATAGTCACTCCTCCAGCTTCTGGAGTTTGGAGAGCTCGAGGCGAACTGAACAGGTTGGCCTCCTGACAATCTCTCTATCTATCTTGCTCTCTCTCTCTCTGGTCTCTGCCTGCTATCTACTATAGTACCTATTTGTGCACCAAACTAAAACATGCTAACGCTAGACTCTTCTGCGAGACTCATTAGACTTGACCAGACCAGAGTAGACTTACGAGAAAGATCATGTGTACTCTATGTCGGGAGTCTGCATGTTGACCTGTACACTGAATGGGCAGGAGAGACAGGGAGGCAGAGCGAAAGAAAGAGAGTATGGACCCAGGTGCTGCTTGGCAATCTGCAAGAAGGCCAAGAGCAAGGTTAAGACCGTACTTGCAGTGCAGAACGATCGTGTGCGCGATCATGGTCCAATGCCAGTGGTGTCATCCAGTCGTAGTATCTCGAATGTAGACGGCACACGTAGATGTAGACGGTGTTTCCTGGTGGATCTAGACCTGCATGCGTGATTTGACCAAGACGTGAGAGTGGATGCGGGCCGATACCCGTCAACTAGCTGGCAGGTCTGCTGCTGCAAGAAGTCGGAGCCCGAGCGGGCTGCACTCACAGAGTGGGGAGGCGCCGCGGGAGAAGTGGGTCACAGGCGGCCGTGCGGCAGTGTAACGCTCTAGCAATTGCCACAAGCCTTCGGCTGCTGTTGATTTTCGAGCCACACGACTTGTCCTGAAAGGCACGTTAGACACGTCTGCTATGCCGACAGCGCCGGCCTCGTGGGCGATGCCTTCGCCGACATCCTTCGGTTGCTCGGCCGGAACCACGAATCGGGGGGCGCGGGTGGTCCTGATTCAATCACTCCGATTGCACCTTTTCTGGTCTTGTGGCCTTGAGCTGTGTGTCTATAGTACCTCGCGGAAGTGGTCGAAGTGTCTTGGTGTGCTGCTGGAAGTTGAGTTTGCTTTATCCGATTGTGTTCGTGTTGGTCCTCCTTTGCATCTGGCATTTGTAGAAATACTGTATGACTGAATGTGTTGCTTCCCTGTAGCAGCCCCCTCGTGAAGCAGGCCCGCCCGAGTTCGGCTGTCACGCGGATTCCGCCACTTGTTCGGAAGACGGGTCAGCGGTGCTCAGGTAACAGCATGCTGACGGCGCCTCGTTTGCACTGCTCACGAAGGCAAGGTTGCAGTTTATCCTATGAGCCGGACTCATGTCTCAAGTAGGCCTTGAAAAAAGCATGTTTTGCAATGCAGTCAGCTCGGCAGGTCAGCATGGCCATCGAAAGCCTAAGTCCACTCCGGAAATTCCTGCTGAAACTCGCGTTCACATCCTGTTCGAGCTTATTGTGGCATAAAAAAGTTTGCTAAGGCAAGCCCTGATCAAGCGATGGAGCAGCACTTGAGCCGCAGTTCAGTTGTTGGAAATGGCTTGCTTGGGCTAGACTTGAAGAGACGAAGCCTTTTCCTGGCATGTGGTCGAGATTGTACCCTGCGATGCGGGCTCGTCCTAGCAAGGTGGGAGGCAAAAAAGCATGTGGTCGAGACTTTGATCTTCATCGTCCTTAGTCGAAGTCTCATCGGGAATGCTCGCACAAAACCACAGAGACAGCCAGAATCGATGAACTCTGATTGGCACTTCCAGCCCGTTCGCATTTGCACGCCCCCGAGGATGTTGGCTATGGGCTTTTCCTTCGAGGCGTCCAAGGTTGCTTTGGAGGCCCACTGATGTCGGACTGGCTTTGATACCTCGGGTGTGATCCAGAAATCGGATGGAACTGGTACCCCCGAGGTCGATTGGTTGAACTCTCTCTGTCTCTCTCTCTCTCTCTCTCTCTCTCTCTCTCTCTCTCCCTTTCTCTCTCGCTTCGGTTAAGTTCGTGATGTGGGTCCCCCAATGTCCCCCACTGGAGGTAGAATGGTCTAAACATAAGCAGCTGTAAATCGAACCAGAGTGGAAAGCCCTAGAACCTCTTGGAAGTGCAAGCGGGCAGGGCATATACTAAACTGAAGTTTGTTGCACCAGATGCACCAGTCACTGCTCGCTCCCATCCTTCTCAGCTGACTGGTTTGGCAGACCAACCGATGGGACGTCAGCCGTGCGTCGACTGCGATCCTGGAGGCCGCGCCACGGCCCGACATGGATGTCCAGGCCGGATCCATTTAAACCAGCAACCGTGCCCGCGGTACGACCGTGTATGCTAGCCCCCAAGAGATCTAAGCCCGAAACATCAAAAGTGTTTCGCTAAAGCAAACGTTGAAGGGTTTGTTATGTGATTCAGGTCCACCCGTCCCACCCTGGAGATTGGAAGCGAAGATCGCTAAAGACCTTCTCCCGGCCAACAGGGCGAAGATCGCTAGAGACCTTCTCCGGGCTAACAGGGATCCGGGTCACATCTTGACAAAAGAAAGCGTCCGCTAGCGATTGCAGCTTTGCAGATACTCTTGTCTCTCGCTAGCCCTGAGTATCCGGTCTTGTTATGGGGAGGTGGCGGGGTGATCGTTGGGGCTAGTGTACTAAAGGGTGCCGTGTGAGTATTTCTCCAAACAGTGTAGTAGCACTAAGGGGTTCTTGTCTTCAGGGGAGACACATGTAAATGCGTGATTTGAATTTAAACAAAGAGAGCAAAGAAGGAACGAAATGACACCGAACCACGCATTCACGCTTCCGCTTCTCTCCATTGTAATGCGTGCTCAATTCGCTTTAACTTAACACACACACACACACACGCACACGCACACAAACGAAAGAATGAATGCAACGTTGTGGTTCTGTATTAACTAAGAAGCACAGGCACACATTCACTTCGTTCATTTGTCTTTCGTTTACTTCTCTAATTCAATAAAAACACGCTTACGCTTCATTCACACATTCACTTCCTTCATACATCTTTTTACAACTGGATGCATCATCAACCTATTGCCGGTGTGGAATGAGAGAAACAGAAATCAAGAAAAAAAACCACACTTGATTGAGATAGCCGTTCGGCGCGCCGACAGCGCTCGCGACGTCGTATAATAAGCATGGCGTGGCCCAAATTTCGCCCGAGTATTTGTACATGGACGTCATTCTTCCCCCAGCTAGAACCAGAGGGTAGTCGGGCCAAAGAAACGAAACAGTCAGACCACACCGAAAGAGCCTATAAACACATTCCCACGACCACGAGGACCACGCAGGCGACCACAACAACGACGGAGACAACCCGGAGACGACTCCACCAGGAGACCACCAAAATGCTTTGTGCCAAGTAGTGGCGCATTCAGGACCACGCCCTGAAGGCTTTCCCCCGTACTGGCTTCAGGAGTGCGCCCAGACTGCTTTCCCACCAGCAGTATAGCGGATCCAGGACCACGGCCAAACATGCGTTCCCCCAAGTACTGGCGCGTTGCGACACCACGGCGCTTGTTCTTCGCCCGTATCTGGTGAGAATCAACAAATTCGGCCCAAATCCTTTCCCAAGGACTGCTGTGATTCAAGGTTTTCGATTCCAATAAGTCCAGCTACTTCTGGCTGGAGATACGCTGCCTTGGCAATAAAGTCAACGTTCATGCGGCACGAGGTCTCGAAGAGGCATTGCGGAAAGGGACATGGCTAGTTGGCTAAGTGTAAGGGATAAGGTAAGGGCTTGCGGCTGAGTAATCTGTTGTTGAAGTCTGCACTCTTGTTTGCCACCCTGCATGCAGGAAATCGGAGCTTCGCCAAACATGTCCGAAGCAAAATGCAGTCCTGTGAGAAGGTGATCGCAAAGCGAGCGGTGTTACAAACAGAGTCTATTGTTTTTGTCCATAGCAGCTTGGGCCCCTGAAAAGCTGCGCTCGCTTCCGGACACACTGGAGAGCCCTGACAGGTGGAAAGTGCAACAGACAGCGAGATCTCGGTGCACATGCCGCCCTCACCCAAGCGGAGGCCAGATTCCGGAAAATATCGCGAATAAGCTTTTTCTCACTCGCCCGGAACGGCCGCTCGATGGTTGCGAAAAGAGGGTGGAAGCGTTGGCTCTGCTCTAAGGTGAGACAAGCGACAAGGCTTCTGCTTCGATATACAGTGAATTCAGCCAAGAGCTTTGGTAGATGCGGGTTTGGGGTCCCTCGCTTGCGACAGCTTCCAGAGAATTCCTGGCACTGCACACTCACATTAGGAACGGAAACCCGAGAATATGCAGCCAGACTAGGCCATGGGTGTGCACTTGGAAGCACCTTTGCTAGCAAGTGACCCGAAGCCATGCTTAGGGCTTGGGTGTAGATGCCAACTAGTTTTTGGCATTCAGGTTCGGTGGGAGTCGGAGCCAACCGCTGGCCAACACCGCATAGCCCCTGGATTCGGGATAGTTTTGGCGGTATGTTGTGTACCCGGGCATTTTGGCGAGTACTGGGGCTGTTTGTCATCACGTGATACCTGGGCTCCCATCGTCAACCTAGCAACACGGGACTCCCTGAAGCTGCCCTCTTTGCGCAGACCGGGGGGCAACCAGCGGGTCCTAGATTCGGGGAGGGTGTCTGAAGATGTGTATATAGCTTCATGTCGGGCTGTTGTGGAGGTCCACGGGTTAATGCATGAAGCCGTCTGCAGGGCCAGAACGGCTACCTGTTAGCTGTTAGCACGAAACCGGATGCCAAAGGCACTCCGTCTGTTTCAGTGCCTGGATGCAAACCCACCTGCCAGCGAAGACGAAGACAAAATGCGACTCACTGGAGGTGTTGACGATTTGGATCTTCCGTCGCAAGTGAGGCCCGAACTTCCGGTGAAGCATGAGTGCCAGAATTCGACACAGCACCACGGGTGGCAGAGCATTGGGCCTGGTAGGAAGGCTGCGCACAGGCCGAGTCAAGAGATGCAAGACAGTAGGTGTAACGCCTGCGCAAGCAGCAAGCATCAAGCCCGCATGCTTGACAACGGTGGCGAAGCAGTTGGTAATTGCGCTGATTCGTCACCAGCTTTCTCCCTCTGACCCCACATATGTGACAATTCATGGCTATGTATCCATGCATTTATCTATGTATCTTTCTATCTATCTTTCTAATGACCTAGCTATCTACCTACCAAGCTGTCCACCTAACTATCTATCTATCGATCTATCGATTTATCTATCTATCTATCTATCTATCTAACTATCTATCTACCTATCTTTCTATCGATCTATCTATCTACTTATCTATCTAGCCATCTTTCAATCTATGTGCCGATGCATGCATGAATGTAAACTAAGAAGAGTTAAGTAAGTATGTATATCTTCCCGGATGCATGTAGTAGTATGTATGTATGTATGTATGTATGTATGCATGTCAGCAGATATGCGTGCATGGGTGGATAAATGGATGGGTTCATGTGGTTCATGGATGGTTCATGCGCATATGACACATGTACCTCTCTCTCTCTCTACACGTATATGCGTGTAAACCTACACACAATCTGTGTGAGTCTGTCTCTCGCTCTCTCGCTCTCTGTCCGTGTGTACTCGTGTTTGTCTGTGTGTAGATGTACAAGCGTATGCACAGTGAACAGAATGAGCACCTTTCGGACTTTCGGTCAACTCAACGGCGCTGCGTATGAAGAATTCGGAGCAACCACTCGTAGATGAATGCAGGAAGCCCAGCATTGCAATGCTTCTGGGCATCTCACGGCCAAGGTGGTGCAGATTGGCGAATAGTCGCCGCAGGTGGGGCATGCCACATGGGAGCATGCGCAGCGTTAAAGAGATCTAGTTTCTTGCATCCACCGGGGAAAGTTCGCAGCCCCCATCCGGATTGCATCCTCATTGTAGATGGGATTAATTCAAGGGCAGATTCAAAGTTTGCAGCAAGCTTTCCGTCAGGCCTGATGCCATGTGTCAGCTTGGGGAATCTCCTTCCAGACGGCACGGCCCCTGGCAGGGGCTGCAGATCTCGATGGAACCGCTGCTTCTGTGCATAGGGCACGAGCTGTGGTAAATTTTGGTAAGCTGGCTTGTTTTATGAGCGAAACCGACAGTGGGCGACAGACAAACCATCCAGTCTTTTAGGCAGGTCGGCTGCACTGTGGCATGGGCAGCTGCAGGTATGTCGGGATCTGCATCTGTGCCGAAACATGCCGAAACAGAATTTGGGGGTTTAGTCTTTGGGTTTACATCTGGTGAAATTTAGGGGCCGCGTAATCTGATGATTAGCTGGCTCTCTGTTCGGGACCCCCGATCCGGTGCGCATCACGGCTTCACCCAATACACTTGTTAATGATCTGCTTAGCACATCCATCGGCAAGCATGATGTATTGGCTTTCCGGGTCGCCACTTGAGCTCATGGACCTGGCTACCTGCTCCAACTAATTGAAGTTGTTGCCCCGCACTGCATGCTTTACCGGTAGGTAGGCTCGCTAAGCGGCGGAATTCCGTCGTCCATCGCAGACCAAAATCTGTGGGAAACTGCAGTGAGGCTCGGCCAGCGAGGCACGCCAGCGTGCAACGGAAAGTGATTTCGCGACCAGTGGTTCAGCACACCTTGCAGCTTTCAGCAGCTTGGGGGGTTGCAGAGAGCCCTTAAGAATCCAAGGCGTTGATGTTGTGCACATGTAAGAAATGCGGAAGGAGTAGCTGCGGCAAGCCAGGACTTGAAGAAGAGCTTCGGACCCTAAATGTCGCTTGATTTGCCAACCACTAGCCAAAAATCGTATGGGTAGGATCAGTTGTGTGTGTGTGTGTACGTATGTGTGTGAAGGGCATCTGTCTATCTATCTATCTATCTATCTATGCATCCATCCATCTATTTATCTAGCTATTTAGCTATCTATCTATCTATCTATCTATCTGACTATATATCTATCTTTATACATACATACATATATATATAGAGAAGATGTATGTATGCATGTATATACATACATACATACATA